TCAACACGACGTCGAGAGGAAGGGGGACTGGGAGGAGGAGAGAATGAACGAGCCTGCCGACGTCCCAATATAGACAACGAAGGAGCCTGCCGACGTCCCAATATAGACAACGAAGACAAAGGAGGGGCCGTAAATATATATATATATATATATATATATTTTTGTCCTCTTCTCCCTCTCTGCCTACGGTTTACCGGGCAGTTCTATTTGACGATATATATATATATATATATCGTCAAATATACACAATGTCAAACTTCTCCTCTGTTTACAGTGGGCACTTCGCCCCACAACGCCTTTTCTTTCCCACCCGGAACAGTCTCTCTCTCAATGCAAATGCCCACCACAGCCTCTGTCTCAGCATTCTGGTCAGACTCCTCTCTCTCTCTCTCTCTCTCTCTCTCTCTCTCTCCAATCATTAACCACTCTGCCACTGCCACCTCAACACAAGCGCAAGCCCATTCAACATAGCCAGCAACCGCAGAAAGCCCACACCACTCTGTCCACGGCTTCTCAGCTCAGCACATGAAAAATCTAGGAAACAGACACCTCCTCACATGCTCACAATCTGCACTTCAGTAACAACACTCCATCTGCCCGAACCCAGATTATGACAGAAGATTTCGGCATTGAACTGTCAGAGGGCGCACACAGACTACAAAACACAGAGAACAAAACAGGGAGACCTAGTACAACCGCGGCAAAACTGTAATAAGACACTGGTGGAAGTAACAAGGGCCTCGTTACCCTTGTCTTACTTCAGTGAAAATCAAAAGGGGCATGCGCTGCTCTTCGACTTTCACAAAATTGATGGATATCAAAGCAGGGCAATGGAACAAGACCCTGAGAGGTGATTGCAAACCTGAAATGACTCACAGAACGCAAAGTTGTTGCCTTGAGTCTGTGGATGATGCCAATGTGCTAGTTTACTGGTCTCACTCACACAGACTAAGAGATATTGCCCATTGATCATCATTATCCCTAGATAATACCTCCTAATCCATACAAATTGCAATCAGACTTGTCTTCAGCTCGACTCCGCATGCATGCAAACAGATGACGATCACACTGGCGCATTTGCGCCCACACAAAGCTCAGAGATAACTTGGCCAGGAACACAGCTCAGATTCAAACTTGTCTTGCACAGCTATGGCGCAGAGCACCAGACATAGATTCCCACCCAATCAACTGTATCCTCCAGCAACTCGTTCGCACACATACTCGCTCACTCACGGATCACCCTGGATGTCCTGCACCCCACACACTGAACACACTAGCACACTTCCTACTACTAACCCACGGGCAGCTATGGCTGCCGTCTTCTTCCTCCAACTAACTAACTAGCGGCTATGGCCACGCCTTCTTCCTCCTATCCCTCTTCTTCCTCGGGCACCTGCAGACCTCCGTAGCACAAGACACTCCGACAGCGCTTCCACACAGCTCACAGGCAGAATGAATAAATGACTTGACGCTGCCTCTTCATTTATACTTCGGATCATCGTGGGTCTGCCCTTTGACCCTGGGCCCCGGGTGCACACAGTCCTGCATAGTACTTGCTGACTAGACAAGGTGCGACCTGGGACTGGGTACCGCTGACTAGGCTAGGTAGGACTGGGACTGCCCTTTGCTGACTGTACTAGGACTGCCCCTTGCTGTCTCAGATGCGGACCAACTCCTGCGACCTACGAAGAGCCAACCTACAGCTTCTAGAAGGTCGTGGACTCGACCTTTCGGAGCTGTGGGAGATACAACCTATACTTCTACTATGACCGCTAAAACGTAGGCCAATGGTTAAGACCCCGCGACCGCCTTATGTACAACAGCTGAACATACGACTTTCAGAACACAGGTCGCAGGTTCAAACACACACAAGTCAACGCGTACTGTACATGGGTGAGGGGGGAGGTCTAGGGATCGAGCCCTGGGTGCTGCATCTGTCACCGTAATAGGTGAAAACCGTTTCAAAATGGGGCAAGCCCTTACCTCATGAACTGCATCCCCCAAACTACCGTAACATAACTACATGGTACATGCCACATCACCATAGATCTTTGTTTATTTTTCGGGGGGGGGACCATTTCTGGACTTGTGCGCGTTGCAGGGACCATGGCAATCTTCTCTGTATCATTCCAATCTTAACAGATGTCCCAAAGAACACATCGCCGAGATCCCCTTCACACAAACATGTCAAGAAGCGGCACCATGTGCCTGCAGCAAACGATGTCCTGAAAAGTCAAAAACAGCATACATGTCCAATCTCCTGCTATAGATGCAACAAGATACACTCCGTGAGGAGGTTTCATGGACATAGATCATTGAAACCACCCTTTACAAATAACCACAGAGAAACAGCTTTTCGGAGGACTGGAAGCACTCGCAGGCTAAGACAGGAAGGTGGGGGGAAGAAAAGAGAAACGGGGGCAAGAAGAGATGTTTGGGTCACGGATTGTCGTAAGACGAGACCACATACCGCATAATACGCCTTCTTAATCTCTTGTGCAGACGCATTTTTGCTCACACCTAGAGTTTCATAATAATCCGCTTTTGGAAATTCCGTCACAGCTGCACAGCAAGCACAACCGATCACCCGCGCATCTCACCTCAGATTTGCAGGCTTCAGATGCCCTTATTTTCAACGTACTATGAAGTTTAATACCGCCCCCCCCCCCCCCCCCCCCTCTTTACGCATGCATTTTTCGCAATCAATACATTCCAACAGTTGTTCACAATGAGACTTCATTCGACCGAAAGAAGTCTCATGTGATGACCGCAACACGTATTCCACATTTGCAAGCACTCTTCTGTTTCCTTGGAACCCACAAATGAGATGACTTTTTGGGGCAAGTAAACCAAACAGTGCATGGGTCAAACGACTAACAATGCGTCCAGGGAGAAACAAGAATAATATCAGGGAGAAAGCAGGGGATGATGATGAGAGAAGCCAGGGAAGAGGACTATTGACAGAGAAAGGGCAGGGGGGAGGGGGAAGGGGGGAAAGGGGAGGGGAAGAGCGTCCAAGAGAGAGAGACAAAGGGAGGAAGCTGGAGACGATAGCCCACATAGATACTTGTGGGAACAAAGACGCAGGAAAAAGACAGGGAGGAAGGTGGAGATGATAGCCCACATAGATGGGGACAGAGACGCAGGAAAGAGACGGAGAGAAAAACAGAGCGAGAGCAAGAGAAAAAGAAGGCAGATTGGTGCACCTTTCTGGTAACTTAAAAGAGTAAACGCATGTAACTGTTGATCGATGAACAGCTCAAGAGTTCAATTCCCCTCTACCAACTTACCGCTCCCATGAAACTCACGCCTTGCACTAACAAAACCACCATGCATCTCAAGCGCACACCTAAGCCGTTCGCTCCCTCTGTAGTTTCTCCATGGGACGGCTTGACCTGCCGATCACACACAAACGCAAAGAAGGAACATTTCTCAGCCCTTGGACCTGACAAACAACAGCAGCAGCACAACCCAACGCATGTCTCTCAGGTGCTCATAAGCACTCCCAATGGTTTTGAAGCCTCATCTGACATGGATGACACAGCCCAAACCAATCCGGAAAAGACAGTCTCGTTGATTGCTTCCATTTGGAATCATTCTGAATTCCATCTATTCTTTTAGCGAAGGATTGCAGACTACAGCCCAAACCAATCCGGAAGTGACAGTCTCGTTGATTGCTTCCATTTGGAATCATTCTGAATCCATCTATTCTTTTAGCGAAGGATTGCAGACTACAGCCCAAACCAATCCCGAACAGACAGTCTCGTTGATTGCTTCCATTTGGAATCATTCTGAATCCATCTATTCTTTTAGCGAAGGGTTGCAGACTAAGGCCACGAAGTGGGAGAGGTACGATTCGAACCTACGTAGAAATATAACCTTAGATTCACCGCTTCAGTGAAAATAAGGCATCAATAAGTCGTAACTTCGAATGAAAAACAAAGAACTGGCTTCACCGCTACAGTGAAAAGCAGTACTCAGCAGGCACACAGCACTCGCTCGAAGGACCCCAATGGAGAGCACACAAAACACGCAAATAGGCTCACTGTCAAAAAAATGCAACACAACTTTGAACGAAAAACAAAGAACCGGCTTCACTGCTACAGAGAAAAGCAGTGCTSAGCAGGCACACAGCACTCGCTCGAAGGACCCCAATGGAGAGCACACAAAACACGCAAATAGGCTCACTGTCAAAAAAGTGCAACCCATGGGAGCGACATGCAAACAAGCCCAAACTCACAGTAGGACTGTCTGTGCTAAATCTGGCCGTATTTATGGAAAGCATACATCCAGGAGGTGGGGCTGGGGGGAGGTGGTTTTTGGAGATGGGAGGAGGGCATGGAAAACAAAAGAAAAAGATGGAAATTCGATAACGAGAGACGAGGAAAGACGACTCACCCAGCAGAAATCGGCCATGGCTTTCACAGCCCGTCTCTTCTTGTTTTCTTCTGTCAACATCACCTCGCCCACAGTGAATCAATCTCCCACCAATGACGACGGCAACATGATCTCTTCCCAGCACATGCTGATGTAACCCACGATCAAACGGACAAGCATCGTCCATCAGACGGAAAGATGTAAGAGTCAGACTGCCACACACGGGCAAATAGATGCTTTCGCATTCACTTTCCCGGCCTTGGCAAAAGCGACAAAGACACCCTAAGTGCTAAAAACTAGAACCCTGCCACACAACTACATCCACAAAAACCAAAAATTAAAACCCGACCTATCAATGTACATATCATTCCTGTGTGACGTTACACCAGGTGGAGCACGGTTGTCACATGCACACAAATGTTACCTAACGAAACGCTGGGACATCCTTTTTTTCCCCCCTTCGTACCCCGTGCTCAGCCTGCCGTCTTTCTGAGGTGAACTTTCCCACATTGAAGGAATTCTCTCTCTCTCTCTCTCTCTCTCTCTCTCTCTCTCTCTC